TCTCTCTCCTCTCTCTCTCTCTCTCTCTCTCTCTCCCTCTCCCTCCTCTCCACACCCCCCTTTGACTTCTCTCATCTCTCTCTCTCTCTCGCTCGCTCTCTTTCTCTCTCTCGCGCCACACCAACCTCCATAAGTGTCTAGGGCGGCACACCCAAAATCTAGAAGGGAGAAAGAGAGAGGCACGCTAGCCCTAGGCTTAGGGTTTGAGCCTTTGTGGCCTGCCCTACTTTTGGAGGGTCTTCTTAGTGAAAGTCTAGTTGCTCTCTTGCTCCATAAAATTCAGCAAGGTTGTCCCAGAGATGCTTCAGAGTTTCTAATCAGTGAGTTCAGTTGGATCTGGAATGATAAGTACGTCATTAGTCAGGTGATCGAGTGTTTTTTTTTTGGGTAAATCAATGAGGGAGAAGGCCCTCTACCCGTTTTTCATTAATAAAAGATAGAAAAAATTGCATCATACTCTCTTATAACCCTACAATAGGGTAATTGCACCACATCATGAAGTAAAGGAAGGTTAAGAAAATCTGGAGGCCTAGAGCGCCAAATGGTGGCCTCCGCAAAATCTGTAGCCTTTTTGGCAAGAACATTGACCACCATATTAGCCTCACGGTAAACATGGAAAATGGACCATGAATGATTCTCAACTCTAGACTTACAATTAGCAACTATGGTATGAGGAGCCCATGGAGCTTTACACCTGCCCTGTATGACCTGGACAAGTAAGGAAGAATCACTCTCAATTTGCAGTTGGACGCATTCTATTTTTGTAGCTAAATCAACACCCTCTTGTAAACCTCAAAATTTTGCATAATTATTGGAAGCAATTCCAAGAGGAACCGAGAAAGCAACAATGAAAGATCCATCATCCCGTCTCAAGACGGCCCCACAAGCTCGACCTGGATTCTGAATAGAAGACCCATCAATATTTAGCTTAAAATGTTGTGAATGTGAAAAAGCCCATGTCACTGTTATGAGTAACTTGATCCTTTGCTTCTGCCTCGCAAGTCTTAAATTCTCAGTAATTACCTTTTTTGAGATGTGGTAAGTCCATGCCTTAGCATCCGCCAAATCACGAACATGGAAGGTGATCCTTCAAGTCAACTTATCAAGAGTGAGTGTCCTTCCTTGAAACATACGGTGGTTCTACTTCTCTCAAATCATCCATATAATTGTGAAGAAGAGAGAATGCCGAATGTTGATAATACCATCATACTTGAACCTGTATGCTAACCATTTTCGTAGTGTAGCTGCAATAGAACAATCTGTAATAAAGCGTTTTCCACATTGACATGCTATCGACCTCCAAATCCCCTGTGAGAAAACATATTCAAGCAAAATATGACAAATATTGTCATCATTAAGATGACAGAAAGGGCACACAGAAGCAAGGGTGATTCCCCTTCACTGCATGAGAGAAGACGTAGGAAGACGATGATTAAGGCTCAACCACGAGAACCATTTAGCCCTTGGATGACACTTGGAAGACCATAGTGCCCTGAATGCCAGTTGAGAAGAGCCCTTAAGACAAATGAAATTCCATACCTCTTAACAGAAAACATTCCATTTGCAGAGTGAATCCATGCCAAAAGATCGAGTTGGGGTTTCGGAGGGATTGAAGCAACCTCCACTGCCTTGCAAATTCTGATCCATTGATTCACAGACGCCTCACACTAGCCCCTTGACACCTGACCTTTTGTTGGTTTTGAGATGGAAGACTTAGACTCCACTCAAAAGCCATTTTCAAGTCATGGCGTCCGCCCCCATAACTGACCCATATCTTTTTTTCAGGCTTCTTGGATCATGACCCAGGTGTCTGTTCACAGGGCCTTATCCTTGAGGTTCTCAAAGCTTATCCTGGTGCAGGGGGAAACACCAGTATTGTGGAGAACCATGTAAGTAGTCTACAACCCTAGGCTTGGCGAAACTTCCTAGGTCCTTCTGAATACGAGAACCATAAGAATCAAAAATGGATTTTTCTGATCACCATGGATCTTTCTAAAAATCGAGTGTTGAATGTGCTAAGCTCTAGTAGGTAACCTTGGGCAAAGGCCAATAAGTCTTCCCTTATTTCTTTAATTTATTTGATGTTGTTTTGTCTTATTTTTACTCCCTAAAAATTGAGTATTGTATTAAGTTGAATGAAGTTTATTTTGGTAGTAAGTTAAAAAGATCATATATTGTAGTAGGCTGAATTTATTGTATTTGTGGCACGTGTAAATAGAATTTTCAGTAATTAATAAAGGAACATAAATAAATTTTTTGAATTTATAGCCTGGAATTCTACAATGCCATCTTTCACTCAGATGGTTGAGATGAGGCTCTGACGATGAATAATTACTGAGACAGAGGGTACATAAGAAAAAAGAAAGATAATCTTCGAAATTCTGGTTACACTTCTATTGCAAACCTTGCGTTTTTCTCATTACGTGCTGCTTTACATGGTGGTAACATGACAAATATGAGATTACACAGGCTAATTGAAGTCTACCCCATCTCGATCCGTGTCCAAATTTGATCAATGTTGAGAAAGAGTGGGTTCCATCTAATTGTGGTTTATGAAAAGTCAGTCCCAAAAGACCTTTTCTCACTAATTCTGCATAAAAACCATTAAAACCTTTAGAAAATTGTAAGGAAAATAAGAGGAGTTTTGAAAAGATTTTAGCAAAGAAAGCAAATAATAACAAGAAAAATAGAAAAGAAGTTAAACAAAATAAAGTGATACTTGAGAGGCTGAGCCCAGTGGCTCGGCACTCGTAGTTGGCCTCGGGATCAGGCGAAGATGTTTTGGAATCTCCTTCTCAATCTTTGATTTTCACCTCAACTAGAGAATTCTCTTGAATTGAAAGGGATTTCACCCTAGGAATTTGCCTAGGGCTTTCTTAAGCTGGGGGGTTTTTCTTTTCCTAAGTGTTCTGAAATTTGAAGAGAACTAGGGTTTAGAGGCAGCTAGGGTTTGTAGGGGTTAGGGGCTAGAAGTTAGGGTTTCAAAGAGCCTATGAATTCTAGGGTTTCAATATCTAAAGTTGCATGAATGGGCATGGCAAAGGGTCTACTTACAGATAAGGACTTTCCAAATCATGGATTTGACTCCATGTAATCAATCTGGACTACCCATGGTCCAATGATTTGGTGTATGTTGTTGTGCACTTTCTGGTCCTAGACACATGGAAATTCCCATGGTTTAATATTTCTTGTGATTGCCTGTCAAATCTTGCCTTGTACGGGTTATGGTTTAGGTTTTTTCTTTTTTGTAAGCTTAGGACATACCTATTTTGGGTATTGATCTCCTAAAATGGGTTTAGTGGAATATCTGGGGATATTCTATGGCTGGAAGTTCAAGTATGGATCGTGGTTCGGTGTGTCCTATAGTTTACTAGGTTAGTGTCGTTCAGTGCATATTAGCAAGTCTTCTTTGCAAACATGATTTTCTCAAAAACTCTTTTATCTATTGAAATCCGTTAAGAACTACTAGTTTTTCAAAAGATATTAAAAAAATCAAGTTTTTTTAATGGAACCGACATAAATCCGTATTTGTTTTTTCAAAAAAACTTCTTTCCTACATCTTTATCTCTTCATTGATTTATTATCTATGAATTTTGGTTTAGAGATAAGCACATTAAAAGCGGGAATAAATTAAGAATATTGATTTAACAAAAAATTCCATAAAAAAATTCACAAATATGTTCCCTGAAAAAAAATGCAATATATTCTCCAAAAACAATCCATCAAAACAATCATATATCTTAAAATAATAGAGTTAAAGGAAGAGTAACAAATGAAAAATCTTTTTTTATCTAACCATAGAGCATCATTATAAAGAGCAAGAGAGAGATTCAGTGAACCAAAGATTTATGCAACTAGGAATTCAGGGTGAGCTTCGAATTTTTGGAGTTGCTTAAGCATTTTATTGATTGCTTTCTGCATACAGAAGTATGATTAATTTCACCTTTTCAATTTTTTTCTATTTAATTAGTGTGCACAACATGCAATTTTGATGGACCACTATTTTTGGTTTCTTTGTGTTTTAGTTACCTACAATATTATACTGAGGGGTATTTTTTGTTTTTTTTCGTCAAATAATAATCCCATAACTTGGGTTACTGATCTTCTTGTTTGCCAATGTAGTTATGCTGTTTAGTATTGTTGTGCACTTATTGAAAGTTTGGACAAAAATTTGTCTAGTATGACTCTAATGATAAAAGGTAAGGGCATAACAATTGTAGTTATTCATCACAAAAAAAAGACAACAATTGTAGTTCAATGGTTTTGATCTATCCATACAATAACCGCAGCTCGTTATTTTATATTTCGTTATCTTTACATATCTAATTTTTAACTCCGTTTTTTTGAGTCAAATCTGAGACATCCACGATTCTAACTTACCTAAATTTTGGCGATCCGTAGTTTTGATCCAATTTTTTCCTGTTGGCTTTTGGACCAAAATCCATTTATTACCGGGATTTTGGTCCTCCGACATATTATTATTCCCGGACTTGTTAACTGTGGTTCAGGGTTCAGGGACTTAGAAATAAAACCCATTCCAAAGGGGGTGGCTACATATGGATATGATGGATTTTCTGCTAGAAGTGGGGATGGCGCCTGACGAAGGGCTGGAAGTGGGAGCTAAGGCAGTGTTAGGTGAAATAGAAGGTCGTTGTTCAATTCTATGAGTCACAAGTTGTGCAGCAAGAGCCCTGTGCTTTGCTAGACTCTGTTCCTCAGAGTTAAATCCTCTGCATACATGCGGTGCAAAATTCATGTAGCTGGTTATAGCTGAGATTTTGATGCAGGATCAAGTAGAATACCTGCTTGAAGAATAGTTGAAGCAACTTTGGAAAGACCTCACGAATTCTCGAATAGGGGCAGTAAGCAATTCCAGATGGGGGTCGCTATGCATGGATATGATGGATTTTGCACTAGAAGTGGGGTGGCCCCTGATGAAGGGCTAAAAGTGGGAGCTAAGGCAGCGTTAGTTGAAATAGAAAGTGGTTGTTCAGTTCTATGAGTCGAAAGTTGCGCACTAAGAGCCCCCCGCGTTGCTATACTGTGTTCCTCAGAGTTAACCTTTCTCCATACATGTGCAAAATTCATCTGGCTGGTCGTATCTGATATTTTGATGCAGGATCAAGTAGAATGCCCACTTGAAGAATAGTTGAAGCGACTTTGGAAAGGCCTCACAATTTATTGAATAAGGGCAGTAAGCACAAAAGGGCCGAGGCCGGATACAAAGTCAAAGAGAGGATTACAAATGTTTCAATTAGGAGAGAAGATCCCAACTGTTGTCAATTGCTTTTATACCTTCTGACAGTGCATGAGTCTCTGCAGTAATGTAATCAGCAGTTCCAATGGGGCCTCAGAAAGTAAGCAGTACTTGCATTGGCTATTTCTGAAAATTCCTCCAATCCCTGACTGCCTGGGGTAAATCAAGCATCCAACTTGAGCTTGATAATACCTGGATCCAGGGGGAGCCATGTTGAAGCTCCTTCAATTTCCTTGAGAAGTTATCCTCTGAATTATCTTCAAGGACATTTTGATTCCTAGCCCAAAAAATCATCTTCGCCATGATCTGATCTATCACTTAATCCAATAGGCCTCTTGGCTTTTTAGTTTGGGCTCGTATGTTCTATCCAAAAATACCATACTGTAGCCTTTACTGCTGCCCTTCATAAGAAGAGGCCTGCAGCCGTATAGGGAGGAGATAGAAAAGCCATGAAAAGTTGTTCAACAAACTTGGGTGCGATCTAGACCCCAACCAAAACGATTGAGCAATGAGGACCATATCTTTGTGCTTTAGTTAAAATGGAAGGAGGGATTCCCCTAGGTTGTAATTGATCACAGATCAAGGCCTTGTTGGGGAGGTCTACCCATTCGCAATTAAAACACCTTTATCTTTGATGGTTGTGAAGAAAGCCAACCTTTGCTTGTTGTCTGAGGGCTGCTCACATTAGAGCAGTTTAGTGAGGGGTCCATATCATCTTGTCTCTGCCTGTACAGAGGATATAGGTGCAGTTTGGGATCTCCAATGGTGCTGCCAGGTCTTAAATCTCTCCGTCTTTAATTTCTCCTGAATTTAGGGTTCCAAACTAATTGTTCCCTGCTGATTTCATAAAATTGGGCAATTCCTGGTGTAATGTCACCAAGTATAATCTTGGGTAGAGGGACTCTAGGGTTGTTTGCCTCTGGCCTCCCGGGCTGGGTGGTTGGGGTGGTGGGGGGCCCATGACGTGATCTAAAGAGCTCCATTTCTACCACTAGACTACCAAAAATAAAAAAAGGGAAAAAAGGCGAAAAAACATTAAAAAAGAAAGGGACCCTTGAGTGGAGCTCCCAAAAGGCAAAAAAACATTAAACCAGAAAACTTTCTACATGCTTACTCTATCTCTGTTCCCATTCTGTAATGGGTTTGCCTCTTTATGCCAAGAGAGTGCCCTTCCAGGCCCCTTGTGCTCTTTCTGAAGTATAGTTAGATTGCTGAACCTCCGAAGCATAGGTGAAATTCGTACCACAGGTCTATATTTCTTAATGTGTTCTATTTTTCTATACAATATTTTATCAAAATCTCACATATTGGCATGTAAAAATTCGTAACTCGTTGCATTCTCTGCTTGCCTGGTCCATGAACTCAATAGTTAGTGTGGTGACTGTCGATCTTAACAGTTATCAATCTCTGGATCTCAAGGAAGTAATTAGATAGATGCATTTGCTATTGAAAATTATCAACTATAGAGAGAATCCTATTACTTTCCATGTTGAATGCACTTGCTACTGAAAAGTATCTCTTCTTTTTCTGTTTGTTCTCAAGAGGACAATGAAAATGCTTAGACTGCAGTTTTTACTTTATTGAAGGAACACCTTATTCTCAACAATCATACAAAGTGAGTGATTCGTTTCCTTTCAAATGGATCAACAAGAAGTGGAGGGAGGGATTCTATGTCACCTCCATGACAACTTCTGGCAATCGATGGGGTGTTGTTATGTCACGAAATGCAGGATTCTCCGATCAGGCATGTATTTTTCATCCCCTTTTAGAAAGCATGTGATAGATGACTTTCTCTCTCTCTCTCTCT